TTTTTTTGTTGGATCTCTGTCTGGCTTGGGAATCAGAGTGATGCTGGCTGATATATGAAAAAATTTTTAAGAATGTCAAGTTGCTTAGTGATATTTAAAAGGCAAAATATTTATATGATCTGAAGACAAACTGGAGTGTTTAGTGATATTTAAAATTTTTTCAGGAATTCATGTAAATTGTTTCAGTAGTTTGGAATATATTGATTGTAGTTAAAAAAGTTTTTAAAGATATTTGGCCTATCAAAACAATATTAATTACTGTATCTCTTGGTAAGGATGAACACAGGTATATAACTACTAAAGTGAACAGAGGGCATTTAGGACAGAAATGCAACCTCTTTCTTTCTCTTCCCCTTCTCATTAATTTTTTGCTGAACTCTTCTCAGATGTAGGAATTCCATGATACTGACAGAGAACTTAAAAGTTCTATGTGGCTGTAGGCTGTACACTTTTGTTAAGTATTCACAATATTTAAAACAATAATTTGAATTGAAAGAGACAGATTTCCTTACACAGTCAAGGCTCTCTCAGGTACTTTCCTTTCATCTCTCACACCCAAATGAAGCCAATCCAGCACCTAAGCATTCAAATTTTCTATTGTGTTTTGATCCTGTTTGTTCTGTCTATGCAGGATATTTACTTTGGAAGGGGAGATTTATGGCTGAAGAACATGACTAAATAGTTTATTTGTAAAGATAAACCAACCTGAATTAGCTTTAAGGTATAAAAGCCCAGTGGGCTGCCAATTAATAAAAACAACCTTTTGTTTAAAAGAAAAAAAGAACACAAAGATGTTTATAAATATTTCTAGTACTTTTTCTAGGTAGATAATCATAAGTAATAATAAAAAAAAACCTCAAAACCTCAAATAAACAATGCAAGAGAAGGCAAGCTGTCTTAGTTATCATAAAATACCACATTTTAACAAACCTGATACTGTAAAAAAAAAAATACTTAACTTTTCTGTTGAAAAATAGAATTTAAGCAAAGTTTGAAATGGGGAAAAATGTTCACAGTACTTTTAATAAGAAGCTGATTTATTTACTACCTTAAGAGGTCTTGTGGGGAGCCTGGGTGGCTCAGTTCGTTGGGTGTCCGACTTTGGCTCAGGTCATGATCTCATGGTTCATGGGTTCAAGCCCTGCGTCAAGCTCTGTGCTGACAACAGCCAGCTCAGAGCCTAGAGCCTGTTTCAGATTCTGTGTCTCCCTGTCTCTCTGACCCTCCCCTGCTTGTGCTGTCTCTCTCTCTCCCAGAAATAAATTTTAAAAAGTTAAAAAAATCAAAAAAAAAAAGAGGTCTGAAATCAATAAACAATACAATATAAAAATGGGAAAAAGTCATGAACAGGAAGTTCAAATAAAAATAAAAATATATTGTAAATAAAAATATAAAAAGCTGGTTAACTTTATTCATAATTAAAGTAGTGCATATTGAAATGAGATGTAATTTTTCATCTTTCAGACTGGAATGTTAAAACCCTTAATAATACTAAATAGTGTAAACTGGGGAATGAGCATTCTTATAAATTATTAGTTGTTGATTTAACTTTTTAAAAGAACAATTTGGCAATACTTAGAATTAAAAAGGGACACTTTCTTGAAACTTTGCTTTTCATTTCTAGAAATTTTGTAAGAATTGAAAAACTATGTAAATATGTTTAAAGAAGGCTGCTCATTTGTAACATTGTTTGTTAACAGCAGATTAAAATAACAAAAGCAAAAACAAAAAAGCAAAGCAAACCCAGATTCTCTTCTCACAGAATCTGCACTCTAGCTGGTAAAAGATGTATGCATAGAGAAATTTTTTAAAGATTCAAATTATAATTTTATAATGTTTTGCACTGGCTAAAAATTAACCATTAGTACTTATATATTTGAAAGAATGTAAGGAAACTGAGAATGTTTTCGAGACTATGATTTCAAAGTTAATTTTTTTAGCACTGAAAAAATACAAATTTGCCTTCATTTTTCTTGCATACATCAGTATAGATTTTTATTTGTGATAGGCAAAATGCTTTGCTTAAAAGTGACCACAGTCACAGAATTGTGAGGAAAAAAATCTCTACAGAGAAGGTCAAAACAGCTCGTATTTGAGCTTCAATGAAAACCTGATGCTCTAAAAATAGTTTTAATTATTTCTAGTTTGTCCTTTCCTTTAGTGGCCCATCCCTCAAAAGCTAGCTGGAGCCTGTAATAAATAAAAGGACATCTTTTGCAGATAAAACCACAAATCCCTCTTTCAAAAAAATTTTTAATGTGTGGTATTTGATTTTTTCCTTTTTATTTAACCCAACTAATAGGTGGTTATGCATCTCACTAAATATGGAACTTAAGTGACTTATAAAATCCGGAAAAAAAACTTTAACTACAATGAAATAAAGTTTTGGAGAAAATGTTGAAATATTAAAAGTTACCCTGTGAAAAAGTCCTCAAAATAAACTCAGCCTACTCCATTATGTTATTATACCCTCTGGTGTTATAAAGCAGCATATATGCAACAACTATCCCGACCAGAGCCTTGGTATAAATATTAGTTTGGAGAGGCTAATATTCAATAAAGTTAACAAAATTCCAATTTTAAGGCAGTTCGCATTCTTTTGTGATTCTTTTGTCCCTAAAACTTAAACAATTTTTGATGTGCCATAATCTCTTCAACATACTGTGGTAAAGAAGGCACAGGAATATTCTCTCCTTTTTCCCATTGAAACTCCCCAGTACGAAAAATAGTCAATATACCATTAAAGAGGAGTGGGTGAGTCTTTTTCCTTAATTTCAAAGAATGACTGGTATATAGCATAACGATAGTGTAAAAATTTCACCAGGCATCCTTATTGTTAATTGAGCAAGTCCAACTACCTTTTTATGCAAAAGGAGGCTATTAATCCTTTAATGTACAATTCCAAAATTCATAAAGCTCTTAAGAGCCAAATATTTTTATAAGTTTCCTGCAAACTCATGAAGCAGGAAAACCTGATCGAGGGTGACAATGCATATTCTTCATTGCAGATATATTCATACGTTTGCTTACATTTGTGCATCTCTAGAAGAGCTGGTGTTTTATATACATCATATTGCCTTCATGAAATCTGAAAAATTCTAAATTCTGAAACACATATAGCCCCAAGGGCTTTAAATGAAGGATGTGGATACAATTAGGTTCTGTGTTATTTCTTTAGTAGGTGAATATTGTACATATGCCATAGCATATTTGATATTTCACAATCATGTTTTAGGGAAGAGGCTGAATCTTCAATTTTAGACCATTTTCTATGGCACCTCCTTCTAACTGGTAATCAAGACTCCTAGAAACATAACCCACAGAGTAAATGGAATGTGCATGCTTTTTATAACTATAAAACCTCCCGTGACTGGCCCGAGGTTTCCTAGTGCCCCTCCAGTACCATACATTTTTTCCTTATTATAATTAATGTTTACTTGTCAATATCCTTTTCTAGATTGTAAACTCAGTGACAGCAGGTGCTGCTCTCTTTAATCTTATTTACCAGTGATTTCCACTGGGTAGATACCCAGTGTCTATCTCAATGCTTGATGAGCAGTACATACTTGATTGAAATAATATTTGAATTGCAGAACAGAAGAAGAAATACAGTCCCAAGACATTTTCTAAGTACCTTCAGATAACTCAACGTACATAGAAAAGTGCAGGCACTATCCTCATTCATTATTTAAAGCTCTTCTTAGTCTTCTGTTACCCAAATATTTTGTCCATTCACTAACATTTCTTATGTGGTAATAACCATGCTTATTATTATCTGAACGTATTTTTGCTACTCTTTTATGTTAACCATTACATTTAATTTACAAATATTCTTCAGTGTTTAAATACTTCTATTTGATAACTTTTTTTTGGCTAAATTTCCATTGCTATTGAATTTTTAATTTTTTAAAAATATTTTTATTTATTTCTAGGAGAGAGAGAGAGACAGCGTGAGCAGGGGAGGGTCAGAGAGAGCGGGAGATACAGACTCTGAAATAGGCTCCAGGCTCTGAGCTGGCAGTCAGCAGAGAGCCCGATGTGGGGCTCGAACCCACGAACCGCGAGATCATGACCTAAGTGAAAGTCGGACGCTTACCCGACTAAGCCACCCAGGCGTTCTGCTATTGAATTTTTAAACCATGCTTATCATCATTAATAGCATCAATACAGATTTGAAGTGCCAATAAAACTGCTATACTTCAACATATATTCAAATAATACTGACTGGTTTTCTAGGTTTACCATAGCTGTGCGCTTCTCCTGACCCCTGGCCCATTATTTTATTTTATTATTATTTATTTTTCTCATTTTTACTGTTTAAGCTGGTTTAAATTCAACTCAGATTCTCTGTATTCATATTCATCTAAAAGAAGTAAAACTCTAATTCCTCCTTCCTTGTTTCTTTTATTAGCTAACTGCACTTAGAGTTTTAAAATTGAAATGTGTAAGTGGGAAGCTATCCAGAACTGAGAGCACCACAGACAGATTCCACTAGCTGCTCTGTTCATGATCTATTTCTGAATATGCATGATTCTTGGTACTTAATTTTGGCTCAGGCTTTGGTTTCTGTAGGAGTTTTGACCCTGCCATGACCATTGGTTTCTTTAGACAGGATCTTGTAGGTTATCAGAGGATTGTGACGGTATACTAAGGTTGGATTGTGGTTGTGCATTTTCCCACAACTGTCACTGCTCATGAAGCAACATGATTAACTGGATGTCTTACAGACCACCAATTTTCAGCTACTTAAGGCCCCATAAAAGTAACTTAACTTTTAAAAGACTTCTTGGGAGGCTGCTTCTGACATGGCTCCCAATGATCCCTGCCTCCTGGTATTCACACCACTGTGTAATCCCATCCCCACTGGTGTGGACTGGACATACTGATTTGGCTTCTAATGAATAGAATGTGGCGTAAGTGATGGGATATTACTTCAGTGATTAGGTAACAAAAGGCTGTGAGTTCCATCCATCTTTCCCTCTCAACCCCCTGCTTGTTCATTTGGATAAAGCTTCCTGCTATGTAGTGAAATGGTATATGGAGAGGCTCACATAGCAAGGAACCAAAGGCCTTGAAGTCTTGAGAATGAGAGGAACTGATGCTGTAGTCTAGCAGTGGAAGAGCTTGTGAGAACTTAATCCTGACAACAGCCATGTAAGTTATCCAGAAAGGACATCTCAGCCAGTCAGGCCTTGAGATGATGCAGCCTTGTGAAAGACCCAGAGTCAGAGGACCCAGCGAAGCTGCACTGAGAATCCTGACCCACAGAAACTGTGAAATAATAATTGTTTTAAGCCACTAAGTTTTGAGGTAATTTGTTACACAGCAATAGATAACTGAACTAATATAAATCTCAAAAGCAAAACATTTTTTTTTGTTCTGAAACAAAATATAACATAAAATTATGGTTTCAAATTATATACCAGTCTGGTTAATATGTATCCATTGTATCTTTTAATATGATACAAGTTCATTATTAGCAGGAAATACATAGAGCAAAGAAGATTTCTGGCACAAAATACTGCTACATATGTGTGAATGACAGAATTTTAAAACCTGAACTAATTCTTGGCAAGATGGTTCAATGAAAACTTTCAGATAAAAATGATCTATTCTATTGGAAGGGAAATACACTAATTCATGTCTTGGATCATGCCTGGTATTGTAGATATTAAACACATCACAAGATGGTATCAGACCTCATATAGCCTAATTGTATGATTATCATAAAAGAGAACTGCAGGTTATCCTCTTTTCATTAGAAATTTTTTATAATAAATATAACTAATATAAATCCCAACTATCTACTCAACTGGATGTACTGACAATTTGAAGTTCAATCTGTTAAGTCCTTCTTTGAGAAATAAAGTTATCAATAAGAATATCTACTTGGTGTCTCACATACTACTCAAATTAAACTTGATAAAATACCTTTCCATTTCAACTCTGTTCTTCCTCTAGTCTTTCCAATTCTAATAAACAGTATTTCCATCTATCAGGTTGCTCAAGACAAAAATTTGGGAGTTCTTCTTGACACCTGCATCCCATCCAGAAAGTCTACTGCCTAGAGGCCATGTAGCTCTCAAGTCCTTCTTCTCTCCATCTCCGAGGACAGTCCTCTGGCCAAAGTCACTACAATTTCTCATTCCTTTTTAATGTGTCTCTCTACTTCTACACTTCTCCCATTACAAACTATCCTTCACACTGCGGCCTTTCGATCTTTTCAAAATGCAAATGAGAACATGTTCTCTGATTATAATTTATCAAGTTTATAAATGGAGACTGCTTCTAAGAGAAAGTTTAAAAATGAAAACTAACAGAAAAAAAAAAATCCTTAACAAGGGTTCCAAGGTTCTTTAAGATCTGACTCTACATACTACTCTATCCTCCTTTTATGGTCCAAGCTATCATCTGGCGCAAAGATCGTCCTTCAGTGTATCAAATGTGCCAAGGTCTTTGCTTTGCTTCCACATGGAAGGTTTTCCCCTGGCCAGTGTCCATTTATACTTTTGGTCCCAGCTTCTTTCCCTAACAGTCTCACTACGTGACACATAGTACCTGTTTAAAAAATATTTGTTGAATAAAGACATGAATAAAAATTGTTCAAGATCCTGCTACTATAACTAAATTGGGAAAATATTTAAATCATGGCCTTTCATCCATTAGGAATGTTCTCCTCTTTCACCTTTTTTATTTAGAATGAAACACATCAGATTTTGAGATCTGAAAAAAGTCTCATATTTGTATTTGGCATGGTTGTTATAACTCAACTATTTACCTCCTCAACCGACCCAACTATAAAGGTTCATGTTTAGATTTTCACTTTATAATAACTAATTAGGACCTCTACATCAATTAAACCAATGATAAATACAAACAACCACTAGGAGTCAAAAGGGCTACTTCTAAAAGTGATAAAATCTATCAGGAAAACAGTACCAAAGCAATCTTTTATCATGGAAGTACAATCTTAAGACTTGATCAAATTGCACTGAGTAATGAAATGTTACACTGAGTAGGAATTATTTAAAATTGAATAAGAGGGGCGCCTGGGTGGCTTGGTCGGTTAAGCGTCCGACTTTCGCTTAGGTCATGATCTCGCGGTTCGTGGGTTCGAGCCCCGCGTCGGGCTCTGTGCTGACTGCCGGCTCAGAGCCTGGAGCCTGTTTCAGTCTGTGACTCCCTCTCTCTCTGACCCTCCCCTGCTCGCTCTGTCTCTCTCTCCTAGAAATAAACATTAATAAAATAAAATAAAATAAAATAAAATTGAATAAGATAGGGGCGCCTGGGTGGCTTAGTCAGTTAAGAGTCCGACTTTCGCTTAGGTCATGATCTCGCGGTTCGTGGGTTCGAGCCCCGCGTCGGGCTCTGTGCTGACTGCCAGCTCAGAGCCTGGAGCCTGTTTCGGAGTCTGTCACTCCCTCTCTCTCTGACCCTCCCCTGCTCACGCTGTCTCTCTCTCTCTCACTCCTAGAAATAAATAAAACATTAAAAAAAATTTAAAAAAAATAAAGTCTTCAATGCATTTTTGCTATCTATCATAATATGATACAGAAAATGTATGAAACCAATATAAAATTCAATTACTAAGGATAAAAATTTTATTAACAGGTCTCAGTTTCATTCTCTAAATAAGAAATATGATTCATATTTATTAATTTGTTCAAAGATACCACTAACATGTAGCTCTTCAGAATAATTAAAATGTACTCTTAGGATATAAACATTTTTATTGTTTTACTATCCACTGGATTTATTATTCAAAAAATTATAAGCAACGCTATAATTAATTTATACCAAACAATAAATGATGTATTCTATGAAAAACAAATGTTTTCAGAGTCAATAAAATGACAACATACCTTTCTTGGACTATGTGTTCATTTACAGTTTGCCTATAATTGCTTCATAGAGATAGGAGTTTGTACATTACAAAGAGGCTTTATTGATTTATTAGTTACAGGATATACTAAGCATACTCAGATCTAAACTGGAAAAGCTAGCTCTGGGCTAATATCATATAACAGCAAGTTGTAGAATACTTTAGAGCAAAATCAGAGTGTTGGCACAGGAAAGAAAAAAGGTATAAGCTGGAGTAGCAAAGATTAGTGTTTATTCAGTCAACCCACACAAGCAAATGAGGTCTTAGAGTTGTATGCTTTGCTCATGATGAGAAAAATATTTACTTAATTTTTAAAAGCATACAGTTAATTATTCTATAATGAACTATTAAATTTCCTTTTCCAAACAATGTTCTCTTTTTTGAAAATATGTAAAGAAACAATTAACATTTATTTAATACACTAGAACACTCCAGGAAATGATTTATTTTTTCAATAGTTTATATCCTAATTTAACTAATTCAGGTAATTTATTTGACTTTATATGTTTTGGGGGATAGTAAATAAAGTATTTTAAAATGTATTTTTGAGAGGGGCACCTGGGTCGCTCAGTTGGTTAAGCATACGACTTCGGCTCAGGTCATGATGTCGTGGTTTACGAGTACAAGCCCCACATTGGGCTTTGTACTGATGATGGCTCAGAGCCTGGAGCCTGCTTCGGATTCTCTATCTCCTTCCTCTCTGCCCCTCTCCTGCTTGCATTCTGTTTCTCTGTCTAAAAATAAACATTTAAAATAAACATTTAAAAAATGTGTTTTTTTTAGTATTCTTACTATTGTTTTATTTAAATAACAGCATTCATGTTACAGGAAACTGAATAATACACAGTGATACACAATACACAGAAACATCTATATTTTCCTTACCATACTTTAAGGTAATAACACACGTATATGCCACTGTATAATATGTTTAAGTGGTTTTCTGATCTTGACTGAATAGTCCATCGAATGGATTTCCATAAAGGTGGTTATCCTGGATAATGAGCCATACTCAGATTTTACAGGATGAACTTCACATCATGACTGAACATTTTCAAAATAAAGTACAAATGGCCAGATGGATCGTTGTGACTGGCTCATGTATTCTAAAGAATCCTTGTTTTAATATTTTCATGCATTTAAAAATGTATTTTTGAGAAAAATAAATGTCCTTTAAATAGTATAGTGTTAAAATTGATGAGCAAAAAAGGTGTGCAAAATTATATAATGAAATTCTCTAAACATCATTTTCTCCTTTTGTAACTTAAAAATTCATAGGAGAGCACGTAAAGGTGGTAATGTCTGCTCTGAGTTCCATTTTTGAAGTAAAAGCATAAAATTATTATTCAACATTTTTGCTTATTTTATTTTGCCTTTTAAAATGGATTACTTTGATAATTTGTGACTGCATATGAATGAGCAAGGTGGAGGTTAAGGAAAGATCAGCACAGCATGTTCATAACTCAACCTGAGGTGGTTAATAATTTAGTTGAAAAAGGTGGTCAACATGTTGTTTTTGACAATATTTCTTTTCTTTTTCAGTTGTAAACTATTTAATTTCCACCACTAACAGACCCCTAAATACTTAGAGGAAGCAGAAAGTACATTGATGCTGAGACACAAATTAATGTGGGGGTAATGAGAAATCTGTAAGTTATTTATTCTCTTCACCAGCTCTTGAAATTGTGTTCTCTTATCACCTTATTTAGTAGCTGTTACTAAAAAAAAAAAAAAAAAAAAGGACAAAAAATACTGGAATAATAATTAAACTTAAATTAATCTTACCTACATTGAGATAAAGACAAAAATATCTATAATGTGCTATTTGTGGAGATATTCCAGCAAATGGAGGCTGAGAAAACTCTATTATTTCCTTTTAAAAGTAAAACATTAAAAATAAAGTAAAATGTTAAAAATTCCAAATATTATCTCACAAGCAGTTATTTAATGTTACTAAATTTTAATATACTTTTTAACATGTATTTAGTCTCTAAACCACACAATACACCATTATAAAACTTAATAAATGATGTTTTTTCTCATATGGTAGAAATAAGTCAAATACCATGTGATGTTACATATTATGAATATTAAAGATTGTACTTAAATAAAATTATAAATCAATGCAAATTAACTTCTTTTTCTTATATCAACCAAAAGTGGTGCTCACAGTTTTACCTAGAGAATATGTGTTACTACCAAAGGGATTCAAGAGTCAAGAAAGGCTAGGAAACTCTGTTGTAACACTACTGAGGTTTTTCATCATTTTAAACCCAGAAAAGTTTCAATTAATGATGGAGGAAGCAAGTCACTGATTTTCATACTGGCAAGTGAAACGCAGCAAGCTAGAATAACTGGTTAGTTTTATTAAGGCATCTAATTAAGATGGCTTATTAAGCTACTCACTATTGTTTTCATAGGGCTTTAGACTGATACTAAACTTTAAAATGTAGGATTCTTTCCTTCCTAACTTTCATAAAAGTCATATATAATTAGCACTGAATGAAATTTTCTAATGTCAACATTTCAAATTTTGATTAACAGGGAATACAAATCAACCCTATTCAAGTTTAATTCAAAAGACTGGCAACATCCTTTGGGAGACTAGTAGAGATAATATTCAATGCACCTTCAAACTTCAGACTAAGCCAGGGGCCTACAAAGTAAAAGTAATATTCAACTTACTAAGCTAGCATCGTCACAGTAATTTTCTCTACCTGCTTTATGTTTGATTCATAAAAACCATACATTCTCAAGTTGAAATGAAACTTTAGGGTCTAGAAAGTAATCCGGACCACCCTACTGTTGATAGATATGATGACTGATCTACACAGATGATCGAAATGAAGAGAAAGTGAACAGCTGACAGAAGTGGTATGGGTCATGACCATGATGTAAGAAAGAGAAATTCAGACAATGGTAGACTCTCTGGACAGTACACAATTAAAAATCTGGTGAAATTCCAAAGGGTGGAAGAACCACAGTTGTTCAGCTCCATTATAGAACCATCATTTCTGAACATGGAACACCACCAGTCAGTAGGAATCACACAAGCTAAGGTAACTTAGTGAGTGTTCATTATTATTATTATTATTTTTTGAATAAGGGTAAACTGGGAGTGTTTCCTTTTTTGCCTCCAGCAGTGTCTTTTTCCTCTTTTATAGAGTATTCAAGGCTAGGATGAAGTGAATGAGGCACTCAATTCAGGTGAAAAATTTAAATGAAGAAATGATTAGTACCTACTCTAATATGGATAAAGTTCCTAAGGCAAAATATCTTTATATTGTAGTGAGTTTCTTTAAAGATGATTTTTGACAAAAGGTTGAATGGTTTATGTCTATCTGCTATCATTTACATAAGCATGGAATATTTGAGTAAGAAAAATTTCTAAAGTGAATTTTAATAATAAATCCCTAAATATTGTTAGAAGAAGGTACCTGACATCCTCAATACCCATGTTTAAGCTCTCTCTGATTTTTAAGCTCTAGACTCTTTGGCATATGCCAAATAAGTTTCCACAAACTAGGCTGCCTGATGCTAGGGCTAAAGTAGCTTCTCTTAACTCATTGTATGGCTGATGGATGGCTTTTGTTTGAATTAATCAGCCTGCAGGTTATAAGGTGATGACCTTCTGTCATTCTACCTACCTTTATGGACTGTCATTCTTTTGTAAAAAAAAGAACTTCTTTAGGAGCACCTGGGAGGCTCAGTCGGTTAAGCCACCGACTTCAGCTCAGGTCATCATCTCATGGTTCATGGGTTTGAGCTCGCACTGGACTCTGCTGACAGCTCAGAGCCTCCTTTTCATACTCCATGTGTGTGTGTGTGTGTGTGTGTGTGTGTGCGTGTGTGTGTATCTCTAGACTTTAAAATGTGTAAAGTATTCTAAAATAAAAAAGTTATTTTTCTCCTGATGCATAAATTGTGCCAAATTTGGTCAGTGGAAACCTTTTCAAGCTGGCTCTTGTGTCTTTTCTACAGGAATCTGTTAGTTTTTGAGTACTTGCTTTGTTGTGCCCGAATCATGAGTCCCAGAGACCTCCAAGGAGCCGGCACCGATGCAAGTACAAAAGGGTCTTTATTACAAGCTCGAGCAGGGGCTCACCAGCCTGCCGGTGTCATGGCAGCAAGGTGAAGCGAAGAACAATAGCGAACAGGGTTTTTAAGGAGTAAGGGATGGGGGTGTTACAGTACATGTAGCATCATCACATAAGCACCAGTTACAATTACAGCTTTGACCATTCAGTATCTGTGAAGTGTTCATTACTTTTTGTGGGACCCAATCATGACTCTTGAGAATCCTTTGAAAATGACCAATTGTGAGGTGAGTTCGAAGGGCCCATGTGGGGTTCAGACAAGTGGTGAGAAATGGGCTAGTTTGTATCTGCAGTTTCCAGCCTTGACTCAGACCATAGGAATGTTTCTTTTTCTTTCTTTTTTTCTTTTTGATTAACTGAACTGAGGGCGGCCTGAGGATGGGTTTAGCCTTGAACAGTCTGAGGCTTTTCCTGGGACTGGGACTGGGGCTACGTGCAGCCCGAGGTTTCTCTTAATGGAGGACTTAATTTTTGGCTCTTCAGCTTTAAGGCACAAAAAGATACTTTAGACTCACTGGACTTTTCCTTCTCCAGACCTAGCTCTTTCCTATCTATCTACCTCCAAAGGTTAACAATTTTCCTTAGTTTCTGGTTTATCCTTCCTATTCCTTTTATTCCTATTTTCATACAAAAGGTAGAATATTATAAGTACTTGAATTTTTTCAGTTAGTAATATGCCCTGAAATCATTCAATATCAGTTTACAGACATCTTCCTTCCGCTCTCCACAGTTGCGTTGTATTCCACTATGTGAATATGTCAGTTTATTCAACTACTCTATTTGTTTCTGTTTGCTGTTAAAAACAATCCTGTAATCCCTATGTTATTTCACACTCATAGAGACATATATTCAGGAAGGATTCCTAGAAGCAATTTTCCTTAGTCCAAGAGCAAGTGCATATGCAATTTTGTTAGGTATTATTAAATTCTCCACAGGGGTTTTACCATTCTGCATTCTTGCCAGTAATGTATGAGAATGCACAGAATCCTTCTTACTTCCAGTTTCCAAGATCTATGTGAAGAGTCTCTTTTTCCAAAGTTACAAGGTATTTACTTTCTGTCTCTGAGGTTAAAATTTATTATTTTTGTCACTATTTCTAGTTCAAAAATGGTGACTATAACTTTTTATTTGAAATGTATAAGATGAGTAGAAGATATTTTTCAGTCAATACCTTACATTTACAGAGTGCATTACACCTTTCAAAATACTTTTATGCACATGCATCTTATTTGATTCTCAGCCACCTTTGGAAGTACATCAGTTCTACCTTCCAGATGAGATTGCTGAGAAGGAACACAATCTAATGACTTCTACATACCCAGTTAATGACAATCAATGGTCCTGTTAGTTCACTGATACTTCTACAAGATACTAAGTTGCCTCTCCTCTAACTTTCAATTCTAGTGCTTTGACTTATTATACATTAGTGTCACTTACAAGATAAAAGTATTATCTAATTATATTTATTTCACAAGTAGTATACATAGGAAAGCTATTAATGAGTTACTTAAATTCATATGTTAAGCTTATTTTGGATAATAAAGCTTAATTTCTTTAGGTTTAGCTCAAGAATTTTACAAACTACAAAGGGCTAACCAAGTCTAATAATATAATTTATTCTGAAAAATACACCATCTTTTAATTCAAAGTAAGATTCACTTCTGGCAGCATAAGTAACAAGTTAGAATTCAGTGATTACCTTTTAATACGTAAGCAACTATTAGGAATTTGTAAAATCTTAGGAGATCAAATACGAAGTACCAAAAATGTAATTTTAGACAACATTATAGTTCAAAGGCTTCCTTTGTACTAAACAATGTCTCTTTGCATTCTCTGAAAAGTTGGGAAAAAAGTTCTATTTCAAGTATAAAATATTTTGGCCTAAATTTTTAATTAGTTTGATTCATCCTTGAGAATAGTAATATATATTTATCCTATCAAGTGAGCTGCAAGAAAATATTAAAGGATGACATTAACAGACATTATAAATTGAAAATCCTCAAACAGAAGCAATGAAACCAGTAAGCGTAAATATAAACCCTGATTTTGGTCTCTTTTTCTTAATGTAAACTCTTTTCCACAAACACAATCTGTATGTTAAAGATGTCATTTATTTTTGAAGTTGAAAAATAACAAAAAGACTTTAGACCCACATATAAAAGGTACTCTTTTTATCCTTTTCTGAGACATTGACCTGTATGCTCATTTAAAAATGAACACCACATCTTTACGTTATTAAATCTTTGTTTTGATCTATTAGTATTCACCAAAGTGCCATTTTATAAAACCTCACACTGAATAGACAAGGCTGGAGGTGACCATCTGCAGCTTTAGAGTCTGCGTTTGAATTGATGAAAAGAGCTTTGTGTTTTCATTGCCAAGTTTGATTCTTCCAGTCATTAGGCATTCCCCTCAGATCGCATCAATGAAGCCGTGCTCTCTTACACCCATGTGTTAAATTCTCTTCTCCTCATGGTTTCCTTTGCCAGCTCTACTCAAGAATGACTATTGGGTCTTAGCCACATTCTTCTCACAGCTGTGTTAAAAAAGAGCATCAGAAAGTCTTCCTAAAACCCATATGTGTATCTGGTCAGTTCTCTGTCTTAGGGTCACCTCACATTGTGGTGTGATTATACAGAGATTCATTCTTGTTCTTGAACTGTGCTACTCCACCACTCTGGGAAAGATTAGGCCCTCCAGTCAGTAGTGGAGAACTTCTTGGAAGACTGATATGAAATATACATAGCTCAGAAGGCAAATTAATGTAAGGAAGAAGGCATTTCAAGATTTTAAATATTTAAATGTATTTTTACCAGTGTGTACCTTGTCAAATGGCAAATAGTAACATAAAGAGAAATAATTAGTATATGCTTTCATATGCTTTTAGGATGCCATTGTGTGCAGCAAAAGAAAACATCAAATGATGATTATGTTCCAAAGATTATTAGTGTGAATGGTATAAATGCCCAAGCAATTAAAAAAATTAAAATTCTTAAGTTCAGTAAGTTCCAAAATATTGTTCACTACGTAATTTTTGGAGCCTTATTTTTCACTTTTAGTCTTTCTACAGAAACACCTGACAAGATACTCTATAGTAGTATAACTATTATTTTCTTTATATTCAGGTTAAGAAAAACAGAAAAAAAAACAACTGCATGTTGAGCTGCCCAAGGATATATAATGATATGACGAAGAAAGAAGATCACTTCAGCTACTACTACCTACTGTATTGTTAGAAAACAATTTTTTCTTTTTAACTATTAATTATCAAGAATGAAGTTTATGTATGGACAATGTTCGTGACTTTACCACTAGTTAAAGCTACGCTGAAATAAGCAAAAGATTCTTTTATTCTATATTTTTCGAGGGTCAAATGTGCACATGCACAAATCCCTGACTTAGTGGAGAGAAATAACTAAACATGGAAAGTTGGAATCCAAGTAAAATCGGTCTTTCTACTTGTTTTTGGGTTCAATTTAGGTCTTTTCTAATTATATTTTGGGACTAAAACCTATACCTAGTAAGGAAGTATACATCAGACTTTCAATGAGTATACTATTTATTAAAAGAAAACCAGACCTTGATTTATATAAAAATGTAGACTTTCCTATACTAACAGATAGATACTTCATATTAAATTTTCTGTGTTTATGAAAGAAAGAAGAATAGGGAAAGGAAAGGACGAAGTTCTGAATGAGCTATCAAGTATAATGAGGTTGAGCAACATCCAAGCAGGAATGATGAAAACTTCTTAACATCTCATTTTTACAATAGCTTCCCTTTTCCTTTTTTACTACAAACGTATTCTAAAGTACACTAGTCGTTAGTGTTTTTAAGTAAGAAAGTTAAAATCACTTTACATATCTTATTTTTATCAGTTCTAAAACTATGCTCAGGTAAGATGGATGGATGAGTCCTGCTGTCTTCACAGAAGTACCTGGGAGCTGTGTAGCCTGTCAACGGTTAAACAGTAAGAAGCCTTCAACTGAACAGAACCAAGGAAAAGGATACCTGTCAGATCATATGGCAACTCTAAGGAAATTACATTTCATATAAATGTGTGAAAATCACATTTGAATGTTTCTGAGGCGTAAGAACTCGTTTTTTTTTT